CGCGTCTGCCCCGGGGTCGGCGCCCGTCGCGGTGGGCCGCGGGGTTTGTGCAGAGATGGATAGGCACCCCCGTGCACGGGTGATACATCACTCATGGGAAAGCCTCCAAATATGCACTCATCGTTGCCCGTTTTTTAACAAAACAAGGAAGAGGTGAAACTTATTGTGAGACTCGAATACTTTGCTAAAGCTAGAAGCCTCATCAAAGCGATGGGGGATTTCCCTGTTGCAAGGGCAGGAAGACTGTCCCAGTACCCCCGAGGGGCTGCAGCGCACACAGGCTTTTGCTTGACATGCATTTAAAGATCAAATGTTTTTGAAAGCTTGCAAGAGTCGACCTACTTTCTGGTGCACACTCAGCACGGCAGCGCGTGCCACGCTTCACCGGACTCACACGTCTGCCCTTGGACTCTGCTATAATCCTGATCTCTGCTACTCTGCTAAATTAAAAACTAAGATAAAGGTCAGTGAACCCAGTGATACATCAGGCCTCTCAAGTTTCCTCTCCCACGAGCGTGACGGCGCTCATGTGGGGCTGCGGTCAGCCCTCCGTATACGAGAACTGGCAAGTTCGGATGAAAAGTTCCCTGACTTTACAAAGGACGGGATTCGCCCTGCAGGTCTGCTTTGCCTTCTGGAGCCAAGTCATTGCAGCTGCCAGAGCGCGACACGTGCCCGGGGACGGGGACGGGCTGCGGGGACCTGCCTTCTCCGGCACCTGCTGCCCCTTCCACCTTCCCATCGCAGCACGCACTCTCCTGGCTGATTAGCATTAAATCTCATTTGAAACAAAAAGCACGTGAATGAAGAAGTAAATTATTAATCTGGAGAATTAATTCTACTTTTTGCCAAGCAGACGTGATCCCTTTAATCTGGCTGAGCTGGTCCGTGCCCATGAGGGGCCGCAGAGGCCACCGGACCAGCATCTCTGAACCGCCCTTTTCACCTACAAAACACCCAGGAAACCAGCACAAGAGACACAAAATGGTCTTTCTCCTCCCTCTGACAGCATTATGGTGGCTTTCTAAAGCACTTCACACGTCGCAGGAAGGCTACGCAGCCTCTTCTGGAGGTCCAACAAGCGTAACTCAGGTAAGCAAACTCAATAGGCTTTTCTTTCCCAAGGGAGCAGGTATTCTAGCTCTGTCGTAAAGCATCAGCCCTCTGTAGCCATGTTAGCCCTTTGTAGCCGCCAAGCTCACGGCGCGATCCCATCTCCAACGGAGGCGGGCGGATGGAGGATATTGTTAACCAGAGCAGTAGTGTAGCACAAGGACAGACGCCGAGCGCTCCATGCAGGACCAGAGAAGCCAGCACGCCTGACGACGGCTAACGCCGAGGCATCCCAGGCACTACCGCTCGCTGCCGTGTAATCTCAGAGGAGGCTGCGGGACAAGGGTGTCCGACCCCAGCCGGGGCACGGTGCCACCACCTGGCTCGGCTGCTCCTGGTGGGGCAACAGCCTCACACCCCAGGGTGCTCACCGCAGCCTCAGAGCCTCTCCTCCTGCTGCTAACCGAAACCGTCTCTTGGTTTTCCTTCCCCGGGGTCACGCACAAGCCCGGGCATCTGAGGGTGGCCCCGAGCACGGGCACGGCGGCCCCGCACAAGCCTCCGTGCCCGCCTTGCTGACAGCGAGCAATTAGGCAGCAGAGCAGCTGCCTCCCGGAGAGGAACCCAACGCGGCTGCCGTTGCGCTACCGCCGCTCACGCGGGTCACGCGGAAAGCCGGGGAAAGGCAGGGTATTTTCACTACGTGCTTTCTCCTCATTATTACATTCGTTACATTAAACTAAGCTACTGCTGGTGTCTGCGGAGGTCGCCAAGATTGCAATCTGGAGAGTGTAATGAGAATATGATACATTTGTATATAATTTCCTATTCTCATTATAGTCTTTGTCAGGAGAACGGATTACATTTGCACTGCCATTTTTCTGCTCTCTAATGCTCTGCGT